ACACTAAGTTTAAACAGTAGAGCAGCAGATATAAGCATGGAGTAATTAGAGATTCTCTTTTCTGCATGGGTGCACAAAAAATAAACTCTATGCAAACAACATAAGCAAATACTTTTTAAGATGCCTCCCTCCTCTGGATGTTTGTTCTTGGCCATGATATTCGACACTAGTGTAAAGCCGTAGTGTATCCAGAATAAAGCAGGGAAACAGGGGAAATCAAACCTTTACATGATCCCTATTAATCGATCTAACACCATTAATGGGTGTTAAGGCTGAGAGCAACTCCTCTTTTGCTCTATTTGGACACATTCTACCTATTTTGGAAGATATAAATGAGGCAATGGAAAGCAAATTAGTAGAGTAGATCTCCATTAGTGTCCAATGCACAGAAAGAATGGAAAGATATGGTGGTATATGGGTGTTGCCAAAACATTAGATTTGAGCCTGAGGTCAAACACAGTGATTAGTGAAAAGCCCTGAATTTTGGTGGACAGCACCAAGAAGAGGATATTGATTATGTTGATGCAGACCAACTCATTTCCTGCACAGAGTTTATTGTGTTCGCTATACAGTGAAGTCAATGCATTTAATTCCGAATGCAGTGAGAGGGAAAGTAACCCTTCAATCTGATGCAGCTGGAAGCTCTCTATGGTGCCTGGTCTTTAGCTGTGGTGGTAACAGATTGTAGACAAGTAAAGCTTGAAGGATGCAGGTGTGAGCAGTTAAATCCGGTTACTTTTGCTTTCCTTACCAAAATGTGAAAACTCTTTCATGTTTTAAAGAAACACACATCAAAACCAATGAGTGGGCATCATCAACTTTTAAATAATCTAATCTCAGACCTAGTTTTTTTCATACTATTTATTAGAATTTAATGAATATGTATCTGTATAGGCCAACACCGATGCATTGAAATTAAGTTGAATGATGCACGTGCAAATTCTCGGTCATCTTGGTCACTGCAACCACAGAACCGGCTAGAATCAGAGGCCACCTGGCTTTTGTTTAGGCATCTATCCAGGAGTCTCTCCCAATTTTGTTAGCTTGCACAAGATCATCTGGATTTGGCTTGTGATGTTTTTAAGCAGCACAGAGATTCATCCTCCTAAGCATGTTCCAAATAAAGCGGAAGCGGAAGGATATTTTTATTTGAACATTTTCAGCCCCCCTCATGAGTCAATGCTACTTCAGGTGCAGAACAGCTTGATTTATAAAAAGATTAAATTACATTGACACAGACTTTGTGTCCACATAAGGCTAATTCAAAACACACAAACAGTTGCACTAACTATCATTTCAAGGTTTTAGAGTAAGAAGCTAAATGGAAATGCATGCCACAGTTCCTTATATATCTTATTTTGTAAAATAAATTATTTAACAAGTTACAAAATAGCTTTCTTTTCTAGGAAATGGAAGTTACTTGGTTGATGGGTTTTTTTAGTCCTTTGTTTAAATCCCAGCAAGTTTTCCATCTGCATGCATGACTTTTGTTAACTTTGTTAAGTTCTTTGGGGGTTTTTTAGTTTTTTTTTTACTACAGTTCAAAAACAGTATGATAATGTCAGTCTTTATATCAATCACTCTTTCTAATTTGTAAATAGCGGTGTGTTTATCTATAGCTATGTGACTGACGATCTGGCAATGTCTTACTCTCCAAAAACTGGCACTGGCATCTTGCATCTCATCTTGCAAGGGCCAGCAGTTAAACTTGATAGATGGGTTCGAAATGATCTTATCTTGTTTGTGTTTAGGATTGAATTTTTCAATTTGGTATTATCTCTATGGAACTGGCCACTCTTAAATTGAGGAAATACCGCAATCTGTTGTGTAATCTTACATAATCATATGACCTGCTAGTATGATATAACTGCAGCAATCGAAGCAATCTATATAACTTAGATTATGCTATTTCATACTACTGAATTTTTCCCCCTTAAAAAAACCCTCCAAGAATGGGCTTTAATAATACAGATAGTGCAGACGCCACTGCAGACACATCAACCG